AAAATTTAAAAGAAAAAGCCGGCCGGCCGGGTCATTTTTAAAATTTAATGTTATGAGAAACAAAAAATTAATTTTGTATGGCCTTACTGAAATTTACGCAAAATTACATGAAATGTAAAATTGTAATTTTTGTAACACAACCCTAGAGCCGAGCTTTAAATAGATCAATAAGAATACGATTAGGCAGAGGAGATAATGGAATCACAAAATTAGACGCTAAAAACGCAATAATATAACATACCATCGTATGGTTTAGTGCACCGGCAGCTGTTCGAATATTTACGCAATACTGCCAAGCCTATTAAGAATAAGCCAAAGTTGGGCGAAAATCGGGTTACTTACGGTCATGCATGATGGAATCGTAGCAGTGCGACAGGCTCTTCTATTTTAATCATTTTAGTTCATAAATTCTTCCTGGAGTGCATTTTCGCTTTGCGAATACTTTGGTAATGTTTGGTGATTTTGGTATTGTGAATCCTACAAAGTTAGTATTCACTTACAATTTAAAAACATTACAATGGAGCAATCCAGTAACCTCTAGCCGACCTCCAAATAAATATACACGTTCTGTTTGTGATTTCAGAACCGGAAAATGGTTATGTTTCCCGTACAGCAAATCCTACCATGGATATTTTAGATACAAGAACATTAATGTGGGGAGTTGGTAGTTAAATTGGTGCACCATTAGGAAGATTTGATTACACAGCTACTTTATTACCGAATGGTAACATTGTCTACATAGGCGGTGTAGATTCTTCTGGTGTGGTAGGTAAGAATTGAAATAAATGAATAAGTGTTGGTTATGATCATTGATCTCGTTTTCCTTATATAATATCAATGATGACACATGGCATTCGATGGTATGTTTGTTAGCGAAAGACTTAAGTTGTTATGAGATTTAATCTATGGTATTACATATATTAGGCTACTACGGGTTATCTGCTTACACCTCGAGGACATCATTCTTCAAGAAATTTTGTTATAATCTATGTTCTTCATAAAATACCTTTTTTTTTTTTTTTTTTTACAAAAGAAATATATATATATAATAGCAAAAGATGGCCGTCTTATTGTAGATGGAGATTATATTGATCGAAATGGTTTTAGACGATTTTGTAGTGTTAGATATCGGATGATCGATTTTTACTTGGGTATTCCTACTCTTTCATTTCCTTCACGTTGCTAACATTCTGCAACTTTGGTTGATCATTGTATGATTGTAGCTTTTGAAAGAAACCTTTATCTACTATCACCGACAATGAATGAAGTATATATATTTTAGATACAAGTGACAATTTGATTATAAATGCATTGGCGAATATAAACCTGATGGACCCGTAACAACAAAAAATCTGCTCTAACAACGAATTCTGCTCTGACTACTGCTAGCATTAACGCTGACACTAATAGCATCGATCGCAGCTTTAGCATTTTTATTTGTTTTAGCTATCGGTCTATTAATTTTCTTGTTATAAAAGAAAACGAAAATAAAGTTTATTTCAAGTATACATTTTACAAATCGATATATCGTGGGATAACTAATAAGACCGGGAAATCTTTATTGGAAGTTCTTGCCACAAAGAATATTCAAATACTACGTACTATAAATTTAGATTTATAGATTCAAATTATTATAAAATTTTGTATAGCCTTCGGTTTTATTTTAATAAGTTGATGTGACGATCGTCTTGTGCTAATAAATATCAACAGATCCTCAAATATTTTTTGAAATTAGTATCTCTTTTTATGACCCCCAAAGATGACTTACAAAGCGATTATTTTTGATATTGGCGGTGTGTGCGTTGGTTCTCCTTTTGAAGGAATAATGAAATTTGAAAAAGAACATAATTTGCCTCATAATTATATAAATGTTATAATGTGAGTTTGACTAAAAATTATTTTTTTCGGTATCCTTAAATAAATTTCCTCTTCAAATTATTTTTTTAAAAGTGTGAAGAAAGGTGAAAATGGCGCTTTTCAGGTTTGTTAAAAAAAGAAATTGGGGCAGTGGCATTTAATTAATTAGATCTTTTAATTGATTGATTGTGTATTTTAAAAATAGCGATTCGAACGTGGAGAAATTTTACTCAACGAATTTTATCAAGTATTCAGTGAAGAATTATCAGATCCAATTAATAAACAACATTATATACAATATCTCAAATTACGTGGGGGTAAGCCCAGAATTCTAAATTCATTTTATTCGATGTTTAAACTCTTTTAATATTCATCTGTTTCATCCGTATAAAAAGAAACCGCACTACCTCAAATTCCAGATCAAATATTAATAGATGGCAAATCATTATTTCGAAAAATGATGTCTGAATCTGCAAAAATCGATCCAGTCGTTTTCACTGCACTTAAAAAACTTCGTTCAAGTAATAAATTTAAACTAGCGGCTTTGACAAATAATTTTCTAATGCCAACAGATGATTTAAAAGAAATCGAATTATTGGGTGGTACTATACCTCAGGAGTTGAAGGGTTTATTCGATGAGTTTTTTGAGTCTAGTGTTATTGGACTGAGGTATGTGATGTTATTAGGTTAAATATGTATTAGAACGGGTGAAATTTATTAAATATGAATTTTGCTTCTTAGAAAACCGGATCCAAGAATATTTTTATATGCATGTGAAAAATTAGGAATTGAACCTAAAGAAGCTATTTTCCTCGATGATATTGGAATGTATGTAATTATATTTGTTCATACTATAATATAACATATATTTGTAACACTCAAAAAATTTCCATCAACTGTTCTATGTTTAGGAATTTGAAAACAGCAATGAACTTAGGGATGCGAACTATCAGTAAGAATTATTTTTCCATCTTATACAAATATATTCATACCAAGTAATTTCTTTATAATTTATAGGAGTTGAATTAGGTAGATCTGAAAAAGCAATCAAAGAATTGGAGCAACTTACAGGAATCTCGTTATTTGATAATGAAATAACTAGTAAAACCAAACTTTAACAAATTTCGATGTTAATATAAGGAAAACTCGCAACTTCACGTTAAAAAATAATTATTATTTTACTTATTATGAATGATTTTGTAAAATATAAATATTACCAATGTTTAAATAATATACATGAGAAATATCTAAAGATCTATCAGTATGCTTTCAGATTCATTGACATCTTCATTTACGTGAGGACTTAACACTAATCGATGAGTGGCTACACGGTCTTCCTGTTCCGTATTGTGCGTAACCCAAATACAAGTATACTTTTTAAGTGTTTCTTCGACCAAAAGACAAGTTGTAGGGTCTAGTGCCGATGTTGGTTCTTAATAATTTCAAAAAGAACAAAGGTTCAATTAATGACCTTTATTTCGTAGATTGAAATGTGAAATAAAAAATAATGAATTTTTATACCATCAAGAAGTAATATTTGTGGCTTGCATGATAGAGCAATGGCTAGCGAAATACGCTGTATTTCGCCACCTGATAATTGGTTCCAACTTTTGTCCCATAAGTCTCTCTTAGCATTCCATCTAACGAAAATAAAACGCAATTAAATATCTATAAAAATAATGTCATATTGTTTAATTTGATTTTTATTTTTACCGTTCAGCTATTTCAACCTATTATCAAATGTATAATTAGAATGTTTTCGACTTAATTTGATACCATAGCGGTTCTTGATAATATGAAAAATAACATTACCGGATCTTCGTACTTGTACTTGTTCCTTTGCTGTGAGTTAAACATTTGTAAAGTTCCATAAAATTCCAACGGTGTGCCTTGCATTATGGCTATTAAGTAATATCGTAATGGTAATGTCATATAACAATGTCGTATGTGCACGATTTGCACAACTGGTTGATTACGAAAATCAACGTATTAAGAAACAAAAATACATACGAGCTCTCTGCGGGACATACATGACGCGAGTTCTCCAATTCGGAATTCCGTATTCTTCGGGAGATCTAAATTGAAGATTTAAAAATCGGATCGGACCCAAATTTATTCACTTTAGATCTTTCATGATAGATCACATACTTATCGTCTAAGAAGATGGCACCTTCTTCATATACTGCCAACTGGGAGACACATTTCAACAGCGTAGTTTTCCTTTATAAAAGGACAATTTTTTACCTTAACAAACAATGTATGCAATAATGTCCTAAATTGCATTTGTAAAGAGCTGTCTGTTTTGACATATTACCCTACACCGCTTGGACCAGAAATAGTTAAGATGTCATTATCATACAGAGTTTTCGAAACATTTTTAAATAAATAAGTTCCATCCGGCTTTAATTTGGACAATCCCTCGACTTTTAGCTTCATTTTTTCGTTTCAAATAAAAATTTGGATTAAAAAAAAAAATATATATATATATTTGACTATAATTTTTAAATTATGATGAAATAGACTGTTTTGCTTTTTTTTTGTTGATATGCATTTATTTAGCTCTATAAATAATTTCTTAACTCAGAAATAGTCTGGTGACATCGATCGCGTAACAACCCTAATTAGTCCTGATTATTAAGAGATTAGATTGCAAAGTGTAACGGTGAACGAAAGCCACAATATGCTCTCAAATTGGAAATATTTGCTTAGAACCAAGTTTTTTCCAAAAAGAAAAAGACCGTTACACTAAGATTCATACTTGCTTGAAGGCTATAAGAATGCATTCAGGTCGCTGAATTTTCGTTTTCTTCTAAACAAATGGTTGAAAATTCATTAAGACCAGTACAATGTCTGTAACTGTAACTTTACCAGAGGAGAATAACAATGAAAATGAAGAATATGACAAACATTGCCTGCTTTTTCCTACTTATGCTACCAAGCATGGTCTCGGTAGTGTATATCTATGCTTATCGTTATCGAAAATAACTCATTTATTGTGGCAGAAATCAGATTAAAATGAAATTTTGTATAATATGTAAAATAAGGCCACCGAAAATACAAAATTTTGGGGTACATACTTTTGGTTTTTTGTTTTTAGGGGTAGAATTTATAGTAAGCAAGTATAAATGGGTTTTTAAGAGGTTAAATAGAAACTCAATTTCATTTTAATCAGATTTCATTATAATCCGCGACATTTATTATAAAGCGCACCTATGGTGGTTTGGTACCTATCATGTGTTTTTTGGATTTTTCTGTTTTTATTTGTATATAAAATTTTTGGCGCAAAAATGTTTTCACGTTAGGGTTAGGTTAATATTTAGAGTTAGAATTAGGGTTTGGGAAAGGTTTTTGGGTGTTAAACATTTTTACTTAGAACATCCCACACCGATTAATTAGCTAGTTTTTAAGATAATGTTTTCATGGGTGTAAACACCATAGGTGCGCCATTGTATACAACATCAAGCAATTTCAGTATATCTAATGAATTCAATTTTTTCAGATGAATCAAAAAATCCTGAACTAACCGACAATTGGAATATCCGTGTTCGAGGATGGGCATACTCGGCACCAAAAACAAGTAGAACCCGTGATCTTTTTATAGGTAAATGAAAAAAAAGTAAAATAAAATAAATAATTGACGATCAATAACCGTTGAAATAATATTAAGTAAATTCTTGAAATCGATCAACAATCTCAGGGGTCACATCACGCATCGCAGGTGTTAAAGAAACTGATTCTAGTTATGAATTCCTCAAAACACGTTCTAACTTGTTCTGGGCGAGCAACATAGACAATGAAGAGTTTATGGTCAGAGTAATCGGGATAACCAATTCTGATAAGATGGCCATTGAAAGTGATCCTAAAGGGCCCGAAGAAGATCCAAAAAAGATTTTGGACAATGTGAACGAAAAGATTAAGGACAAGATTGAGGAACAACACAAGCACCCTGATGACAAGAATCCCTTTGCGATTTTTAAACCTCATACTGGCAATGTCAATGGAAATATTTCAATTCAACAAGCAATAGTTAACGAATGGATTGGTGGTAAACCAACCGGTAATGACAGGAAATCACTCATTGAAGGAGTTTTTGGAATATTTGGAAAAGGACAACAGAAAGAGGAACAAAAAGAACAACCTAAGGGAGAAAAAATTAAATTGCTTAAACTCGAAGCGCATCAACATCAAATCGGTAAGTCATATACATATTTATGATGATCATCGATATTGATACTTAGAATTACATATTCATTTTATTCATTTTATGCAATTTTGGTTAGTTAATCCACTTCTTAAACAAACTTATGGTGTGGTTAATTTGATCGAACCTGATGGATACTCCGTAATTTCGGTAAATTTTATACATACATTACTTATGTCCATTATTTTGAGGTTTCTAGATCACTAACATTTGAATTTTATTTTAGGATATTGATGACACGATTAAACAAACTGAGATTTTAGAAGGTGCGAGAACCGTCTTTTCTAATACGTTTTTACAAAAAGCCAAAGAGGTACGTTCGTTTCTTTTGTACATATATGCAAATAAGTATATTTAATTTTAACGATGCTGTCATTCTAAAGGTCCCAGGAATGCCCGAGTTATACCATAAATGGGTGATTATTAATTGAAAACTCATTTAATAAACTAAAAGTTTTAATAAACTATTAAAATTATCTTCACATTAGTATGACAGAGGTGTGGCTATTCATTACGTGTCCAATTCTCCTTGGCAACTATTTCCAATGTTACAAGCTTTCTTCGATCAATCTGATTTCCCTCCTGGTTCTGCACATCTTAAATTTTATGATGGTTTGTTCAAAAGCGCGCGTGAACAAAAACAACATCCAATGGAAAGCAAATTCTTATACATAAGAGAACTTCTTAGAGTGAGAATCTCATTTACTTATTTTTATTTTTAATTATCATAACTATTTTAACTTATTTGTCTTAAAGGATTTCCCTCGGCGCAAATTTATTCTTATTGGTGACACGGGGGAATATGATCCAGAAATGTAAACTATCAAATTAAAATTGTTATTTTTTTTTTTTTGATTGAATTCATATTAACTTTGATTTATATATATTTTAACAACGATTCAGTTACTCAACAATTTATCGTGAGAATCCAGATCGAATTCTTCGTATATTTGTCAGGGACGTAACTACAGAACATGTAAAAAATCAACCGGCACAATCACCACATCAATCTTATGTGCAAACATTCACATCGACCTATAAATATATTAAAGATTATTATTTAAGCTCGGAAGGAAAAGAAGAAGATCCTGATAAAGAACATGAACAGGAAAATGATGAACCTGAACAGGAAAATGATGAACCTAAACACGAAAATGATGAACCTAAACACGAAGATGAACATGATCCACATAAGCCGAAACGTCAACAAAGCTTATCTAATCGTTTGATGAAGAAGTTGCATACAGAAATGTCTTCGATATATTCGTCAATTAGTTCAAATGTCCAACCTGAGCATCAGCATGATTTGCCATCTGATGTAGATATTGATTCACATGATAAGCCGGTTGAGAAACAAGAAATGAAAACTCCGTTAGAAATGTTTCATGAGAGATTAGACAATCTAAAGAAGGGGATACCAGATGGTGTTTTTTCAACCTTTTTGGATCCTAGTGAGATAGAAAATGATCCTATTATTAAGAATGCTTTAAAGTATTAAGCGGTTGAAGTACTGTATATATGTGGTTTATTATACCTCGAATAACTGGGTTTACCACAGTGTATTGTAATAACTTGGCTGTATTATAATCATGTTCATTTTATATATTTATTTTTTATTTATACATATCTTTTATTTGAATTGCTCTGGTTATTACTTTTGTTTATATAATAAACTAAGGCCTTTTTCATGTAAGATCTTGTTAAAGTTTCTAAGCATATATTTTTTGGTAAGATCCATAGCATCACCACCACCTAAAAAAATTTCGCTATTAGCGTTAGGGTTAGGGTTTTGGGTATTTTTGGTTTTGATTTTATGTTACACCTGAACTTGGAAATTTTTTAGGGTGGTGACGGTGATTTGAGTCGACTTTGAGGGATCTACCAATCCGCAGTCCACAGTATATAACAAAAATTCTAATAGTTTCCAAAAGTTTCTGAAACTTAATTAAAATCACAGGTTCTCACATTTAAGTCCCTGATCCCAAGCCCATGGATGCAATAGAAAAACAAAAAAAAAATGGCGTAATAAACATTTACTTATCCGGAAATAGGTACATATTTCACGTTAAATTAAAGATTATCAAGCATAGTATGAGCGACCCTTATCCTTGTTTAGTTAGATATAATGCACTTTATTTACCAACGAAAAAAAACACGTGAGTGGCCGTGATTGTGATTCCAAATAAATTTGAAGATCTTCGTGTAACGTAAAAAAACGCTAACCCAACGCTAAACAAATAACACAAGCGTACGTACGTAGAAAAGCAAACAAAAAATGGGGGTATATAGTAAAGTAGTACGGTACGGAAACGTAAATTAGGACGGACGCGTAGAAATTATGATAGTGCGTACGGTTTGTAAAAGAAAAAATTCGTAAAGGCCAAATTACTTTTCCTATAAATCCTAACATGAAAAAAAGACAATACTGCGTCCACCCTAACCCTAACCATCAAAAAGGGTTATTTATAAAAATTGAAACTTGCAAGTCTATATTAACCGTACGTACGATCAAAATTTGGTATAATTTTCGTATGCCCGTCCGAGTTTGTACTGCCGTACAGTACTACTTTACTAAATACCTAAAAAATGGGGATGTAGATCATTTTCTTGACATACGTAGGGGAAATCCTGGCGCAAAAAAAAATTATTAATTTGATGCATGTGCACTTGGCGTTTAAACATTGCTAAATATAGACGAAAAATGACTAATATTGATATGGTTCAAAGATTTGCCTATCTACATATACACGCATGCCAAAATTTAAATTCGCTGGGGTATCCGATGCACTATGTAGTCAAAGATATATGTATATACAGAGGGATCTTAAATCGTATTATAGGACAGAGATCGACGATCTGAAACGTAACGTGACGATCTGGTCTAAAACGTACGACCTAATTCATAACCGGCAATTTACTCGATACTACTTTGAGTTTAATAGTGTTTTGTGATTTTAACAGTAGTGGTTAATAATTTCAATAGTTAGTAATAGATAGGTAGTGATTTCAATAGCTTGTGTTTTCAGTTTAGTAATAGAATTCTAAGTCAATAATAGTGTGAATAAGCAGAGGAATTTAATAGTAGATTCATGATTTCAATAAAAAATTTTTCATAAAAATTTTTATTACTATATATTCTTTCATAATATCTTTTATTAGTAATAGTAGCTATTACATAATTAAAAAATAAATTAATGTTGACACTATCTAATGATATTTTAAAAATAAGATCTAACACTGTAATAACAATTTTAAAAACAAAGACCAATTGATTTAATATAATAAAATTAATTTTTCATTTTTTTTTTTAAATTAGGCATCTTTTTTTGATTATTTTTATTTTTATTATATTCAGTATCTAATTCTATATGCAATAATTCTTTTTTTTAAATAATAAATTAGTTTTTTTATCAAGAATAGCTAAAGATAATATTTTATATTATGCTTAATAAAAGATGTTTTGAATGATTAATTAATAGTAAAATTAATATCATTTGTTATAATATCAATAATTAAGTAAGTGTTTGATAATGTATTAAAAAATTTTTAAAAATATTAAAATTTAAAGATAATAGTCTTGAATAATTAATTTTAGTAGCTTTTATTATTATTTTGCCAGAATTCAAAAACTTTATTTTAATATTAATTCTAAAATTTTAAATATTTAAAATTATAGATTTGAAAAAATAAAATTGGGCTTTCTTTTTCACCTTCTATAACTAATGATAGCTAATCTTAAATTAGTTTATAAATAGAAAATTAAGAGGTATTTTGTTACACTTAGGTGGTTATACAAGATATAATAGATTAATATCATCTTTTTTTTTTTTTTTTTTTTTTTTTTTTAAGGTGACCTCTTTGCTATGCTGCTCTTTATTTGAATATTAGTAGTTTTTTAATCGTCAGAACATTTTGATAGCTGTATATATTTGTAAAGTACAACTAGCTATACTTGCGCTTTTTGAGTACCTATTTAAGTAGTCTGCCTATCACTAGGTTCTACATTAGATGCCGTACTTGACCTCACTAGGGAGGCTACCCATTTAAACCTTCTGCAGCTATGTATCAACCCTTTATATCCAAGCGATAATACTTAGTACTACCTTATTTTCACATACTGGCTTAGGGCTTTAAAGTGGTCTCTACTATTTTAAGAAGTTCTTTGATCTTGAGATAAATCTGCTAGAGCCTTCTATATCCACTTTTAGGCTGACCTAGACTTTGGTAACTTACGCCTAGTCTGAGAACAAATACTTGCAAGCTAAAATCGCTATCGTTACCTATTTCTGCTCTTATAGAGTTCACTTATATCCCAGCTCTGATACTCATCCAATCCACTGTTTCACTAAACTTCTAATTCAGATAGTCCAGTTTGGTTCACAAGTTGCATTACCTGCTTTTCTACTGGTTTAAT